TTATAATACCAAAACACACCTCCATCCCAAAAGCTACCCGCCTCCAAGGTGTGACCACCCCTCACCGAGCATGTGCTCTGAATTTCTCAGAGCCTATTACTTTAAACGGAGATGGGTGAACTTTTCACCAATCATAACTAAGATATGCTTGACTAGAGTCACTCAAGCTCCACCTAAAAGATAGAAAATAATATAAATTGGCCTAAGAGAGAGGGGATGTCAGGGAAGATACCACCGTCAGGGGAGATACCATCCCGAAGAAATACAACATCCTTAGGACCTCCTGACTCCTGGGATCAGTCGACGGGCTGAGCCTCTCTTCCCCCCCCCATTGGGATGCCTTTAGGTAAGATCTGAATACTTGCTTATAAATCTCTATAGAGTCTTTGATCCTTTTAATGCATTTATTTTTAGGCTGTGCACCTGTAACACCTGTGTATTTCATGCATGCTAGCTTGCTTTTGCAAACAGTCACTATCACCGGCAATCCAAAAGAACCTGGTTATCTGTTGCTGTAATAAACCATACTTGATTGCATTTTGCTAGCTCTCATTAAATGCAACTAGGGTAAGGGTGGTTATCCGTGACTGTGATAGTTCAGTGTTCTGAATCCAACCAGGCCCCCAGACGGTTAACACGTTATTGATGAATATCTGAGCGGACCCCCAGATGGTTAATGCGTTATTGGTGAACGTCCAACTGGTTCAGTACCCTGAATCTGACTGGGCCTGTAATGGTTAATCAGCTACACCCCTTAACGCGACAGAAACCAGGACAATCTTCAGTGACCTAAGGCATCATCTACCTAGTTCTGTCACTGCTAACTCTGCTCTGCAATGTAAAGGCCAGCTAGCCTACATCCACACTAAGTGGCATTATTACTGGTATTGCAGGTGTACCCAAGTAAGAAAATGAATGAAGAAAACAACAACAAAACACAACTAGTCGTTTATTCTGTTTTGGAGCCTGCAGCAGTCTGGGAACTAGATGTCTCCTTGGCAAGCTATGCAGTGGAAGCTGTCATTTGCTATTAGTCAAATTCTCTGGAAACTTCTACAGCCCACCAGTTTATCTGCAAAAGATTAGAGTGGTGAGATGCAAAGCAGCCTGCCTTAGGCTGACAAAGCCTGGGAGACTATTACCCCAGCACCAGCAAGGGGCAAACATTTTCAAGAGCTAGCAGCTTCCCTGTCTTCTCACTTCAATCTCTCAAATTCTTGTGGGCTAACAGCAGTGTTACCAGCACTCCAGAGTACCCTGGTCCCTGCTTCATTCCTGGGATAACCAAGAAGTTAATGAACCACGTGTGAGCACCAAAGATGCACACTAAGTTAGGACAACAACTAAAAGTAATTTGGCCCAGACAACAGTGACTGGTGGATGGCCATTGATCAAAGACAAGTGAAACAGCTTACAATAAAAATGAAAGAAATCAGAAACTGAGAACCACTAACATCACAATTTCCTATTCTCTCAACTAAAAGTGGAACATTAACACCACAATCAATCACTGCAAAGACTGCCAGTACTAGAGAGGACAAATTTAAACAGGAACTAAATATATGGTTCCTGTAATACCGTTAGCTTGTACTTTGCTTGAAAAGGAAACTGCAGGTTCACCCAGCAAAGGATTTAGTGTACATCCTCTTGGAATTTCTCTAAGTTAAGGGGTAAGTCTTTGAAGTGCAAACCATGCCTCTGCAACATTGGAAATGGTATCTCCAATATCTAGAAATCAAAACCAATGACTGTTCCAGAGTATAGGCAGATGTGATCACTGTTCTTTTCCAAGAAAGTGGTACTCATAGGCCGTTCAGAGAATAGCATCTATGTTTTCATTTTGTAGAAAGGAAGAACCTTTCTTGTGTAGCACTTTGGATAATCTTCACTTCTGTATCCCTATATATCTGGCCACAATACTTTGGAGGGCTTTCTAGCTCTTCCAAAAGATGTGGTAAAGTTTGCAAAAGTGCCAATTTTTTTGATTCAGAGGCCACTCAAAGGGTTTTTCAAAAAGTCTCGAGCTATGGTCTATGTGTACACACACCATGCAGAGTTTTTGACTGACCTTCAAAATATAAATATCACGTAATTTTAATCACTACAATCAAAAAGCTGAAAAACAATTTTCTGGGCTAAGAATCATTATATTTTTATCAAAAAAAAAAAAAAAAGATTCTCACAGCTAGCAGTCTCTCTCTTCCGAGTACTCAAAGTAGATGTCTACTTTGCTACCACCAAATAGGGGGGGGGGGGGGGCTTTTCAATTTTAAAAAAAGTAAATGATATTACATAAGAGCATCATTTTATTTCTAAAGGGCATTTTTAAGCTAAAAGTTAACATACAATGTTGAAGCTACCCATCCATGAATATTGCATTTTGTTAATTTCAAACAGTAATGTTCAATGGTTTGAAAATTTTTAATGAGAATGGCCATCTCTGTAGATTGAAAAGTAGGATTTAAAGCTGATGTCTTGTTTAGCACTTGAAAAAGTGACTCCACCTTTAAATATTCAAAAGTTCTCATACAAACTTAATTTCTATTGTTTTGGCTGCTGTGTACTACAGCATCCCCATAAGCTGCTTTGCCTAAAATCATACAATGTCATGCAGGTAATGACAGATACCCTTTATGGAACAAAAGATTTCTTATACCTTTTAGAGATAGAGAAAAACATGCCTTATTTAAATGCCTAAATAAGGCATTTAGCAATGCCTTATTGGTTTTGTGCTTCTGTTCCTAGGAGAATATCAATATCATAACAGTTGTAAATGGAAAGCCCAGAGAGGTCCACATCTGATTTTATTCTGGACAAAGCTATTTTCATTTCTATATACTACAATTTCAAAGCCTTAGCGAGTCATGAAAACAAAAATGACAACTTCTAAATGTACTCATAGAAGTTATACTAAAAACACACATTTCAACAGCTTAAGTGTCAGCCTGTCTTGTTATCTATAATCACATTGATTGAAGTCTCTGTATTTCGAAGGCAAAAATAGCAGTGATATAACAAGGAAAACCTATTGCAGTTCATTAGTCATGGTACATTAGAAAAAAAAAGATTCTTGGGCAATTTTATGGCCATTTAAAAAATGGTGCTCTCTCAAAACAGAAAGTCTCAAGAGATTAATATTTCACTTATTTTGCAGGGGCTGGGTAAGCTACATCTGGAAAACTAGTGAAACCAAGCAGGCCATGCAGAGGGAAGGAAGGAGTGATTGGAAACTGCACATCCAGTGCAGATTTTCAGCATTGTGTTTATTTGTAGTGCCTGACCTACATCTGTGTATCCAAACACTTCAGGGAAGGGAAGAGTTCAAAAACTTAATTCGTGTTTGAAAGATGTGTTACAGACCTCTGTGAAGAACAGTAAACAAGCAAGATAAGGGAAAGTTAGTGGATCTCAGACCTAATTTTACATATGAAATGATAATCACTTAGGACTGAGTCCTTAGTGTTAGAAAAAATGAATTTATGAAAACATCAGCTCGGTTCTCAAAAACAGATAAAAAAGGAGTAAACATGGGAATTATTAGGACTGAAGGAAAAAGCAAAACAGAGCCATGATTTAGTTTTATCAGCCTGTAGTGTGACCATATCTTGAATGCTACAAACACTTCCAGTTGCCCTACTTTAATATGAATGGGGTAGGAAACTTGCAGAAAATGGAGGAGAAAATTATAAAAAATGTTATAGCTTGCAAAAAGAAAAGACTGGGGATATTGCAGAGTTCTTTAAAAACATGAAAAGCAAACAGAGAGATAGGGAATTGCTGCTTAGCACCACTTCCCATAGAAGAATTACCTAGAAAACAAAATAAACTGTCAAGTGGCTGGCACAGAGAACAGGAAGTGGTTCTTTGCACATTTAAGCAGGTTACTGACCTCCCTGCTGGAAGATGCTGTGGATTTTAAAGCAGGCCCCAAAGAATGAACAAAAATTACACTCCATCGAGCCATGTACATGTTAGTACAAAGGCAACACCTCTTGCTTAAGAAATACTTCATGTTGTTTGAGCATGGGAGATTGCAGGCAGCTAATATTACATGCTAGCCCTGTTTTTATGCTCCTCTTTATGTATTTGCTGTTGGAGACAGGACACGGGAAGATGGACCTTTGGTCTGACTCAGGGTGGCCACTGCTGATGTTGCTCCTCCCTAAGTGACAGCTAAGAAATGCACGTTCAGTGCTCCCCTGCCAGGCTGCCACTGTGGACACCAACATCTGCTGCCAAGGGAACTTGTGACCTACCTTCTGCTGACTTCAAAATACAACCACAAATAATACAGCAATAATTGCATTCAATTTAAGTATTGCTACTAGATGAAGCATTAAAATTGAAAGGCTCAATCTGAACTGAAGACCAATGCAAGAATATGCCTATGGAGAATAATCAGGCTCAGTTCTTTTCAACTGGTCTGTGATATAAGACAAAGCAAAATAATTCTAAGTGTTAAATTATGAATGATACAGTGAATTATTAAAGGTACGCTAGCCTTTATTCTCAAGTTCTACCACTCTTCTCCCTCTGTTTAATATTTCTTTGGCAACATAGGACAGCTTTATTCAAGGTAAGAAACAGCACACCCTTTTTACACTGTAATTCAAAGTACAAAGCCTACATACAGACATCTAACCTGGGAGCCTCTTCTGTCTCTAGAAAGGATCATACATGCCGACCAGCACCAGAACTAGCAAAAGTTTCATCCAGTGTCAGTGATTTATGTCACAGTCCAAGATCTTTACAAGCTACAATGAATCACACTGAAAGCAAAGTGAACATATAAATTAAGTCTTGCAAACACCTGGCACCTGAGCGCCAGCTGCTCATGTTCAACCAAGGTGTTTTATTTCACTGGAGGCAACAGGGTTGGCATCAGTGACATATTTACAGTTATCCACTTCCTCTTGTAGGTTTAAAGCCTTCAGCAATGGCTCCCAAGAAAATATCTGATGTGGGTAGTGTTACAGTACACCATATTCCACAGTACTCACCTCCTGTGCCACTGCAGGAGTACCTTTCTTGTTTGTCTAAGATCTGTTTATATCACCTTTTGCATTCTCATGCTGGAGAAATTCCAGATGGGAGAAACAGGAAACTACAGGAGTACTGCTGGGACAGAACGGTAGAATTAGTTGGTGATTTTTGTTGTTGTAGGTGTGTTTTTTTTTTTTCTTTTTTTCTTTTTTCTTAATAGCCTGCACATTTTCCTTATCTCTACCCAACGTCTAAAGACTAAGCATTTTACTTCACCTGGTACGTAAGCTCTTTTTGATACTGAAGCTATTCAAAAGTAGAGAGCTAAGAAATCATGGTCCATGAAGAAACCAGCCTCTGTTCAAGTTAATCAAAGCGTACCACTGTTTGTATGTGAGCAGAATAAAGTCTAGGTATTTTCTACTCCCCTACTATGCAAATTAATGACAACATGCACAGCTCTATTGCTTATTTCAACAACAGCAGGACATCCAGGTAAGGTAACGCATTTTTCTTTTACAATTTACACTTCAAATTATATGATTATGCTGCAATGCAAAATACTGCAAAATACTACAAGTACATCAGCATGCTGCAATGCAAAATACTGCAAGCTGACAATACACAAGATGAACGTTTTATTGCTTGCAACAAGCATTGCAAAACTGGAATGAAAATGACTGACAATGTTTTCAAATAGAAATATTATCATTACCGTAAATAGTTATTGGGTTTTCTTCTTGGGCAAAGCCTTAAAACATCTCCAACAGCCAACAAAACCCCCTCAAGACCACTGTTTTATATGTATCATTATGAACTGCAGACAGACATCTACTTCTGAAAGTTTTAGAGACATTTAAGCTTTTGTAATCAAACATGGAAATAAAACCACCTTGTGGCATTTACTACCACGATTAAATAAGGCTGCTCTTTACTGCTAGGCAGTCTCTTAGAACTACATTATAACTTGTTTTCAGAGTGACTGTTTATGGACCATCACACTGCTCAGAGTCTGCAGAGAGCACAATCCACTTCTCTTTCAAATGGTCTTTGACAGGCAGCTCCAACCCAACAGGATAGTATCACAATGAAAAGGGCCTTACATTTCCCAGGACTTTCTTCATTGTTATATAGCAAAAAGGAAAAACAACAGCAAAAGCCTAGAAATTACTTAAGCACTTTCATCCATTTAAAGCCAAATGTGCTTTTGATTTGGCTTTCTTTCCCAAGATGGTACAGCTTTGAGTATAATATTTTTCAAATGGACCTGGAACGTACTCAAGATACTCAAAGAAGCACTGAATCTGATCTCAACTGCAGATAAAGCATCCATAAAATAAATAAAGGCAGCGCAGTTTTCTTCAATGTACATGCAACACATTTCCTTTGTGGAACATGAAGTGCTGGGAATGCTTTACCAGATGCAACTTGATTTTCAGGCAAATTATCATTTGCCTGAAAGTGCTAGGTCAGCTTAGCTACTTCCCCTGAAGTTGTTGAGAAATGCACCAAAACAGGCTGAAAAATGAAACTAAGGTGATCTCAACCCCTAATGTGCATCTAAATTGCTAATGTCAGTCATAAGGAATAATCTTACTGTATTCATTCATTTTCATCCTGAAAGGCACATGCAGCCCTTTCCCATTGCACACGCCCCTTCTGTTTCCCAGATATACTACAGCACAAGCATCCATAGCACCGCGTCTTCAGATGAGAGGAAATTTCCGGGAAAAGATTTATTGTGGAGAAGGAACAGAAGAAATTCTGTTTCTTACAGAAGTAGATTTACACATTTCTTATTGGTGGTGCTTCAAGTTTGGGGTTTCTTTGATGAAAAAAAAAAATAATAAAAGCTAACAATGTTTCAGAATGAGTTTCAATTAGTTCTGACTGAAAATTACCCATTCCTGTAATTTTCCTCTATGTGCAATACTCATCCATTCACAATATATCCCTTTTGATCTAGATGCACATAAAGTGATGGCAATTTACAGCACTTTCTAGACAGATGAAGTGAAACTTGGTTCAAGGTATAAAGTTAATTGGACAGGATATAGGAAGAAGGATAGCTGCTTTCTCCTCAAAACTTCCTGTACTGAGACAGTTTCTGATCAGAGATGGATGACAGTCGTTTCATACAGATCTTGAACCTTTTATAATAGAGTTGGTTTTTTTTGGTTTTGATGATTCTGTGAAGTTCACTGGAGCTATAGAGGAAGCTCACATTGCCTCCAAGAATGACGTTCTATTGCCTTGAATCCACTTTTACAGAAATAATAATATATCACATTACAAGTGACATGTGGTGGTTTTGTTGTCCAGCATCACTCCCTCCCAAGCCTCTGAGGATGAAGTAGATGAAAATTTAGGAAACCATTCCTCCATTTTAATGATGATCTCACTTAAACAAAAGAGAGACCTAGTAATCATAGACCTAGTTCATGCCAAGCCTACATAAAACAGGCAGAGTCTACCACTGAATTTGGCCTTTGACATTTTTGAATACAGCAAAGCTCCGACACTTTGAAATGTTTATTTATTGAACCTTGTCTGTTTCTATGTGACTTCACAAAAAGGCCTAAGGGACCATTTTTGTATGTTCTAAATGCAACCTTCCTTAGAGATTGAATTATTTTTAAATGCACAGCCAACCAAAGAATTTTTACTTGCAAACCAGTGTATTGTTTTTGACAAAGCAGGTTACACAGATTTTAGTTTAGTCCTATTTCTCAAAATGGTGAAAACTTATCTCCATGATTACATCAGTATAACAAGACATTCCAACAGATGTATCATCCCAGATGAATTTAAGTGATGAAGAGCAGACTCTGCAAAGCTATTGGTCTTTCAATCCTTTACAGATAATTTGAATTTTTAATTACTCTTGTTAGTCATTCCTACTTATTCCTACTATTCCACAAAATTACTAACTTTGAATATTGCTAGTCAAAGTTTTCACTGTGTGTATCACCTAGAAAACACTGAGTGGTCAGTTCTGAAGCCAGGGAGCTCCCATTATTCTGCAACACTGATAGTCAGGTGTTAAAAATAACAAAAGGGACAAAATGCGATATGAATTATTTGCATCTGAATTCACTTCAGAAATTATCAAAACCAGCCTTATACCTCTAGCAAGACTGTTTTACATGCTCTTGCATTCCAGAACATGTGAAGTTTTCCAGATATCTGAAATAGCAACTCTTTCCCCAGCTGCCAAGTACAAGCAAGTCTGGAAAACCTAGCAATATTTTTATTGGAAAACAGAAGACATCGCACAAAGTAAACTATCCATACATGGAATCCTGTGGTGTCTGTAGTGTTACTTTGATCAGCCTCTTTGACTAAGAGCAATGCAAACCCAAGAAGGATTTGGGAATGGGGTTAGTTCAGCCAGAGATGATGTGGCTTCAGAGGGACCTAGCAGCTGCCTCCTGATCCCTACAAGAGGGAGACAAGGCCAGGCTCTCCAGAGGTATGTGGTGGGAGGTTCACTTAAGTGAAACAGAAAGTAGTTCACACAGGATTTGAGGAGAGACTTGGTTTCTTTGAGAACAGTTAGGGAGCAGAACAGGGTTTTTTTAAGGCCCAACTAGATAGAGCCCTGAGTAACCCGGTCTGCTGTAATTGCTGACTTTCCTATGAGCAGGAGGTAGGACTGGTGACCAACCACCTCACAATTCATCAAAAACCTTCCAAGTCCGTTCCACAGATAATGAAAATCAGTTGCTATTTCTCATGAGTGCTTGACAAATATTCTTGACCTTGTTTCCCCCCACACCTCCTGTTTTGTATAAAAATATATTTCCCCACTGTCCTTTCTTTTCACATATGCAAGGTAATCTCCAACAGCCATACTGTATGTTACATTACATGTTTGACAATCATTAAAGTCAGCTGGTTTTATGCATTTTGTAGACAAAAAACTGGCTGCCTTAGCATCCTCCTTGGAGATGACATATATGTATAAACATGAAACAGACATGATACTGGCAATTAAAACATATAGAAGAACTGACACATATTACCAGATAATTTTCAAAAGTTTCCTTTTGCTTTTCATTTGTTTTAAGCATTTGTTTTTATAGATATTTGTACTGGGTCTGGCTGGAATGTTAACTTTCCTGGCTGCAGCCCATACAGTGCCGTACTCTGTACTTGTAGCTGGAACAGCAGTGTTATCACACCAGTATTGTGTCTGCTGCTGAGCAGCAGTGGCACAGCATTGGGCATTTCTCTAACCCTCCTAGGGGGTGGGCAAAAAGTGAGGAGAGAAACATCACTAGGGCAGCTGACCTAAACCAATCAAAGGGATATTCCATACCATGTGATGTCACACTCAGCAATAAAAGGTGGAAACAGGAAGAAGAGGGGAGGGGTGGGCTCTCGTTGGGAAAACGTCGGTCCTCCTCTCGAATACCAGCTACGTGCGTTGAGGCCCTGTTTCAAGGACGTGGTCAATCATCACTCATTTGTGGGAAGTAGAGAGTAAATTCTTTCCTCTGGACTTCCATATAGCCTTCATTTATTTTATTTGTTTGTTTTCCTCCCTTCTTTTTATTTTTCCCTTTCCCTCTCCCTTTTTCCCCTTCCCCTTTTTATTTCCCTTTAGTTAAATTGTTTAGTTCATAATAATCTTTATTTAATTATTATAATTATTTCCCTTTAATTAAATTATCCTTATCTCAACCCGTGAGTTGTTCTTTGCTTTTCGTCTCCCCCTCCTCATCTAAAAGAGGGGGAGTGAGAGAGCGGTTGTGGGGTTTAGCTGCCCAGCACGGTAAAACCACCACAATACTGGATCTCCTAAAATAAAAATGACATGACTGAAAATGAAGACAATTTTCTGCTCCGTACAGATGTATGCATACACCACCAGGTTCCTCTGCCAAGACTCAGAGACAAAGGAGGAATGAGATGAATGTGAAGTACTCCTCATGAGTTGATTAGAGATTTTATTTATAAAATACATTTTTGAATGTCTCGGGAAATCTTACTCAGCCTCTCTGGCTGGTAAGAAAAGGTCACTGACTGAAGATGGAAAGCAAAGTCCTAGATAACTGCAGATTCGATTTCTTAATGATGCGAGAACCATTGACCACATAGTGACTTTTGGATCTGATCTATTCCTCATT